TATGGGCCCCCCCATTTATTTGGGTATTATATTACATTTTCGTAACATTCATTTCATTTTATTGGTACATAAACTTTTTTTTCTATATCAAGGTAAAATTTACCTTGGGTTGTGCGCAAAACCTTGAGGTCTACGTTTAAGTCATTAAAAAGGACTCCAACAATTGTCACAGAGGAAAACTAAGTCCACACCATGATCCAATGAAGGATATAACCTCTATGTACCACTAATAAGGGTAACAAATTTAAGACTTCTCTGGTCCCTAACAGTACTAATATGATTAAACTCGTGTACATCACTTGTACTGAAGGTATTGTTCCCTAGTACCCGTTACGCCCGATTTTATCATCCAATCACGGAAACATACCCTGCTCGAGGACTCTATGTTATACCAGTGATGGACATTCCCGTATCTCTCGAATACTTATTTATTAACTTTGTTTATTAACGTCAATTATTTTCCTTTATATCTATTCTTTTCATGCATAATTCGCGCTCCTAACAGATTCAATACTACCAGTTTAAGCATCATCAAATATTAGGGTGATCAGTCCAATATTGACGAAACTTAACTACTCAATCATTCGTATTCCTATTTTTAAACATTTCTTTCTTTCATTCCTCACACCTTTTAAATACATCCTTGCTAATTTTTGTACAAAATGGGATAATATTTTTTTCAGTCAAAGTTTAACTCAGTTTAGAAACATTACCATTAAAATTCTCTTAGGCTGGCGATATACCTACATAGGTACTTAAAATAAAATAGCATTTTCCTAGACAGATTCCCTTTAATTTTTATTATGATGTGTACCCTGTTTAAGAATAGGTTGGTGTTATGTACCTTTAAATGTTATTGTTATTCTTTATTAGGAGAAGATATACGATAACGACGTTCTTAGTAATAGATGTTTTTTTTTGAACATTGCTTAATAAGGAATTAATAAATTTGACATAAATAAAGAAACCAATTAATGATAATTGGTTGTAACATTTGCAATTTATAATATATAATGATTGACAAATTAATTATTATAACAAGTATATGACATTGAGCTATAATAATATTCTTACGTTGGTATTTCCTCTGACGCTGTTACATAATTAATTAGAAAGTTATCATATTAGTTAAAAAATATTGAATAATTATATGTAAGTTGTTAAAATTTCGATAAATATTGTTATGGTTACTTGTCCATTAAAATTTACACATTACTATGATAGAATATGTAGAACTAAATTATACTTAAACACCATATTGTTGCAAACAAATATTATTATTATCATTATTAAGTAGTTATTTACCGATTAATTATTGCGGTATAATACATAATTTTGAATTTTTCTATTAATAGTACTAATATTTTTCCTATTTTCAATGAATGATTTAAAAAATTATTTTCCCCAGTTCTGTGTATAACATTACATAAGTAATAATATAATTTGACAATAGACATCGACACTATTATACAATTAAACTTACATTCGGTGCTTTCGAGATGTTTTGTACCTGCTACAGAACTTGGCTGGTCGCTCGTTGTACCCCTGACTTCTTTCTACTGCTCTGATACTCGAAGATGTTCTTAGCTCCCCGATGTGGTTGGGCCTGGACTTCTTCGTACTCTTCTTTTTTCTTTCATATTTATTTTTGATAAAATTGGTACTGTTCTCTTGAGGGAATTTTGACTAAGGTGTTTTCTGTGTCTTGGAATCTTCTTTCTTGGAAATTTTCTCTCTTATCTTCTTGATTTAATAACAATGTTACTGAAGCTTCTTGTATAATTTATTTTCAGGTCTTTTCTTCATTTCTTTTATAACATTTTTTCTTTAAGTATATTATCGGCTTCGATTTGTCAAAAAAATTGTAGTCTTCTTATATTCGTATTTAAAAAGTTATTTGTCACGTCCGGTATTATGTTGATTTTATTGTTGTATTATTTTCATATATTTATTTTGATTGATTTATTTTGTTCAATAAATTACTTTATTTTTCTGTACAGGGTCCGGCGGTGCGCTTGCATTGTAGCAGCGCACCGCCTGGCAGGGTCGCCATGTAATGTCGGGAGGTTCGGGGAATAAATAATACGTCTACTGGTCTTGAATGTAGGTTTATTACTGACTCTCTCCTATTCCATCCTACATATATATTATAACCACACACTACAACGGGATTTGCCTCACCTTCACTCCTGAGATTAAATATTGCTAGGTCGCTTCCTTTATTTATGTACTTATAGATATACTTGATTGCGCGGACAGAGCTACATGCTTCTATATTAATGTGAGCATTAAGCATTTTACATAGAATGGGCGAATACGCGACAATCCAGCTGTTATCTAAGGTTTTGAACGCTCCAGAGCGAGATTTGATTGTAACTTTCCTGCCACCTTCTTAGGGAGCTCTGCGTCTGTATAAAGGGTAGCCATTGTCATTGTGCACTGTTTCTTTTAATAGTTGTTTAGGGAATTTCTTGTACATTTTCCTTTTTTCATACATGGCGATATTGAATTTCGTGCTACACATGGACCGCGAATGACGATGGTATCATACAATTCTTCATCTTGCTCAGGATCCGGAATCTCGGCGCATAATATGTCGTCTATTTGGCTGGGCCGCAACTTCTCTTTAAGCAATATTAAAATGTGGGCATGCAGTAATCCTCTTTTTTTGCCATTCAATTGAATACATGAAGCACTGCACCTCTCCTTCCCTTTGTTAATTACATACATTAATGTTTGTACTTTTAATCTAAATACTCTAGCAACTAAATCGTGTCTGTCAATACTTTTTTGGCCCGGCATTAGCTCCTCGGTTATTTCTTTCCATGTGGGATTGCAAATAAAAGTAACAAAAAGATCAGGTCTTCTGTAAGTTCGTACATAGGCGAATGCGGCTTGTGTGTGCTCATGTAGGTAGCGGGGACTGTTAACGAATGATGAGGGCAGAATTACCATTTTACCTAAATCTCTGGGGTTTACATTGGCGTCGCTAGAAACTGCATCTTGTAAATGTATATAATTCTCAACGCGCAGCTTTTTTTGATTTAAAGATATATAACGGAGACGTTCACTTACATGTCTACCAAATATTGATGAAATAATTGTCTACACCAGGCTAAAAGGTTAAAATCATTTTCTCGCAACAGCATAAGATACGCATAAAAATCCACACATGATACTTTTTTGTTCGGAGTAGGCTCCTTTGTGACCGGGTTAATGAGTGGAATTTGAAAATGATAACCATCTTGTCCTTTGCAATAAATCAATGGGTATTGCAGAGCGTCATAAAACTTGTGTGTATCGGCTACCCGTTGCAACGTATCATCACGTGCTCGCAAGACAATGTCTCGTGAAGAAAATTGATCACCACTAATTACGGCTGCTATTTCGTTTATCAAAGGTGCATTATAGCGCGTTTCATGCTCTCATCGAGGGGTCCGATCTGCGTGAATGACGACTTCATAATCCTCTTCAGGTAGGTTTTCTAAAGCAGTTTCAAATGTTTTGACTAAAATGTTACGTTCAGGCAAGAATCATTGAGTTTTGAACACTGTGTCTCTCTCAACCCCGGATAAATTGGCAGCGACGGTTTACCTCAATTTCTTCGTCACCCATAAAATATACTTGTAAAAATTTATGCTGTTCGTTTTTAGCTGGAAAAAGTGAACCTATTCTATGATAAATTTGCCCTTGCACCGTAAATGTAGACGAAAATCCCGGCATTATTATTTCCCGGTCAACTCCGAAGCACGTCATTTGAAAGCATGAGTTATATTTCCGGATCCTGTTTAAAAAGCGCCGTGACTCATTAGCATCGTATAAATAGAGAGTTTTCAAAGGTTTTTCTGTATGCCCAAGTAACGGAAGAGACACTTTGCCATTGGAACAGCACATGCCTGCGGTCTCATCTTTCCATTTTAAAGCGCTGCAAAATCGACACGCCTTGTCCATCAGTCCGATAACAACTAACCTGTGATTTTTATAATCAATCAACGGATCATAATTGAATGCTGCGTCATTAAAACCGAATGAATGAATGAATGAATATGAATGAATGAATGAATATGAATGAATGAATGAATGAATGAATATGAATGAATGAATGAATATGAATGAATGAATGAATATGAATGAATGAATGAATGAATATGAATGAATATACTTTATTGTACGCCACAAACAAATTTACAAAGAACATAACAGAGAGCAGATTACATGTACAATTTGGCGGCTTTATCGCTACATAGCGATCTCTTCCAGGCAACAAAGGTGTAAAGGAGTAAAAAAAGTGAATACTAGGTAGGTGGTGCATTATAAATATACCTAATATAATATCAATACATGCAATAAAATAACATATAAATAACTAACACATAAAAAATATGATACACATATACATACGTATATACATAAACATACACAAAAACACATATATACACAAATATATATACATATCCATACATATACATACATACATATACACATATATACATACATATACATATACATATACATACATAATATATCCTCAAATATTTACCATTAACAATAACATAAACAAATAAATACAAAACTACATAATCACATAATTTATCCTAATCGTCATGATCATAGAATAATGACGGTTCTAAAAAAAACACGAAATTCACTTTTTACCATATTTGGATACTATATTGCCTAAATATTATTACTACATTAAAGAAAAAATTATATGTATTTCGGATTTCAAAATAATCAGTCGGTAAATAGACGGATTTGATAGGTACTCATAGTAAAATGACGTTTGTATATACTCGTCATTATTCGACGCGCGAGCATCTCCCGCCATCCTCTCCCACTCCCGACGAATCCGCGCAATCGTCACTTTTCGTCGAACTCGCTCACGCGTTGCAGCGGATTAAATTTTTCTTAAACAATTGCACTAGTTTTACTTTATTTGCCTGTTTGTTAGCTATTGCGTACCTAGTTTTTTTACATATTATATTAAAAGGTGTGCCACAATGAAAACAGGACGATCAAAGCTTATGTTAAAACTTGTGGAAGAAACAAGCAAAAATTCGAAAAGTACGGGTTTTACTCATGATGAGCGCATGGATGAGGAGGACTGCATACCAGGGACTCCAGGTAAGTTAATGAATTATGTATTAATATTATAGTATTACTTAATTCTTGTATTTACACATATTTTGCAAAGTAAATAAGTAAAGCGTCGGTTCTGAGTATCCGTCGGTTTTCTACGGAAAATATAAATCAATATAAAATGTAATTTTTATAAAAATAATATTTGCTCGCTGATATTACTACAATTATTATGTTGAGTTTTTGTTATATTTGAGAATTTAAATTTTCAAGTTGTATGTAACTATATTACATTTTTCTATGGACATGATAGTGACGCGTGGTTACAAACGCCTGTATTTTGTGGACACGCTTTTTTTGCCTAACGGTCGTATCCGATCATCCCACTTTTTTCTTTGAACTAAATTCACTTCCGCCATTTTTCTGTTGAAAAACTATGAATATTTGTATATATTTAATATATTTTTCTTTAAAAAATAATCGGATTTGAGTAAAAATTGACCCGTATAAATTAAAAGAAGTACTTTTTTATACTTTCAAATCTTTTTATTATGAATAGTCTTACCGTTTTTAGTAAATGTTAACCTGTGATATTAATAATCTATTTATTTTTACATATACTGATATCTTTTCAGAATGCCATTCGCTATTACCTCCAGGAGCACGCAACGTAATAGAAGAGATGAACGACATTTGTGAAGATGTCTTTTTAGATGACGTACACGGAACAAGCGAAATCATAAAATCAACAAATGAAAATATGGACCCGAACATACCATCATCTACTTGTGTTCTTGAAGAAGATCCTTTTATGGCCGTGTATGAAAATGCATCCTCATCATATTTACTCGCGTCAGAAAATCAGCATGGTGTCGTGTCCCTCTTAAATATCACCTCAGATCTAACCCCTTTAAATACTTCTACCCTGATATCAGACCTGTCACCTTTCCCGCAACCGATTACCCCGACTGTTGACAACAATGGACATGGACAAACACCTATGCCATCACCAGTAAAAACTCATGGTGAGGTATGTAATGACTTTTTTTTGTTCCACTCACGATGGTGCAGACATAGCAACTGTCAATCAAACAAGCACAGCTGTGTCTTCATACCAGTTGTCTCCAGCGCCTCTTATTCGATGTAGAGGTAAAAAACGTGTCCGAAATTATGACGATTGGGAAGAAATTAAAAGAAAACGCTTAGCAAATGCAGGAAAAGAATACATCTCCAAAAAGGGCGTTATTGTTCAAGCAAAAACTATAGGTAGGCCTTGCACGTGTAGATATAAATGTTACACTATGTTGACTCTCGAAGAAAGACAGGATGCATTTGAAAAGTTTTGGAAGTTAGGTGATCGTGAGAAACAATGGTTGTATGTTGCGAATTATACTACAAAACAGAAGAAGAATAGGGGCCTTCAAAGAGATTTAAAGCATAACCGTCAATTTACTTACAATTATTTTTTGCCAAAGGGCTCATCAAAAACAGAGGTTTGTAAAACCATGTTTTTAAGTACGTATTCGATTAGCGAAAGGTTAGTTCGGACAGCTTGGAATAAATGTGACGGAAGCACTTTAATAGAAAAAGACATGAGGGGGAAACATAAAAATCATAATCGGGTTGTTGACGATGAAATGGTAAAGTCGGTTTGTGCCCACGTTAATTCATTTTTACCTGTAAAATCGCATTATAGCAGAGCAGCGTCCAAACGACTGTATTTAGATGGTGACTTGAGCATCGCTAGGATGTTCAATTTATACAAAGATTGGCCTGAACTTAACTATTATTCAAATACAGCTTCCAGTCTTAGACAGTACAGAGACATAGTTAACAGTCATTTTAATTTGAGTTTTCATCTACCCAAAAAGGATACTTGTGATCAGTGCCATAGTTTTAAACTAACACAAAATCCGCCTGATGAACTTAAAGAACAGTATGCAAACCATTTAAATAGCAAAAAAGTGTCTAGGATCTTGAAACAGAATGATAAAAATTAATTTTAATAATAAATAAATTAATTCTAATGGACGCATAGTTTATGTTACCTTTGATTTTCAGAAGGTTTTGTCATGTCCTCACGGGCAAATGGGTGTATTGTATTACAAGCGAAAGCTGTCATGTTATAATTTCACCATATACAATATGATCGACAAACAAGGTTATTGCTATATGTGGGATGAAAGTGTTGCCAAACGTGGGGCCAACGAAGTAGCCAGTTGCGTTTATGACTTCATAAAGAAGTTTGTATCAAAAGGTGTGAAAGAGTTTCGATTCTGGTCAGACAATTGCGCTGGCCAGAATCGAAATCGCATAGTGTTTATTATGTATGCTCATGTAACTAAAGAATATGATATAACTATAATACACAGATTCTTTGAAAAAGGCCACACTCAAAACGAGGGGGATTCTGTCCACAGTGTGATAGAAATGGCTGCTGAGCATAAAACAATTTATACACCAGATGAGTGGAAATTACATGTACGTTGGGCTAAAGTAACAGGTGATTCTTATGAAGTCATAGACGTAAATCAGTCTTTAGTGTTTGACTTTAAAGATCAGCTAAAAAATAAAAACTGGGTAAAAAATACAGTTAACAACAAAGTTACTTGGACAAGCATAAAAGAAGTTTGTGTCGATGGAACTCAGAGCAGTAAAATCCGGTACAAATATGCTTTATCTGATGACTACATGACCCTGGTACTTCGAAAGAGACTAGACAATACAATAATCCAATCTTCATAAAGCTTACGTGGGGCCAATTCCAATCAGTAATGATAAATATAAGGATCTTATTAACCTTTGCGATTCTTCAATAATACCTACCAAATATCATAACTATTTCAGAAGTTTACCTCATGGGCGTAATGTTTCTGATAATAACAATGAATCTGATTGAATAATTGTGCTAAAGAATTGTGTTTAATAATCTTAGTTACTTAATTTTTACTGTTTTGATCTCTGTAGTTGTGAATTTTAGGGATTTATTCATTTAATTAACGTTTTTACTACCCTATCTACTTATAAAATGATTGTGATAATATAACTTGGCTAACAAATGGTTAGTGTTTAAGTTTTAGATTAGTAATTTACCAAAAAGGAAGAAATCAGGTCCAAATAGCTTCAACATTATAGTCTTCTTAATCTATGTAGTACAAAATAATGTTGTTTATAATTTCTTAATACAAATTCAGTATAAAGACTAGACCAAATAGTCTGTTTTATTTATAAGATACCCTACCTACCCCAACCTACTTACTTACTGTACTATTTACTTATCGAACACCTGCCTACCTTCTTACTCATGGTCAAACTAGAATATAACAGATAACACATCCGCCAAAATATTATTCGCTAAGTCAGTAGAACAAGACTGGAAAGTAACATCCGTCATTGTTTGAACAGTAACTTTCCGAAGAAAAATGTCGGATAATACTATGTGACTGTCTTGACTCCAAAGTAAAATGAAGCACATGATTTTTCAGGAAAACTGTATAATTAAAAGTTATTGTTTTTATTCCAGTTTAAAATAAACCCCATTTTAAACTGATATGCCAATTTTCATAATTACAGATTTAGAATTAAAAAAAGTTATGTCAAAAAGTCTAACATAATTATTTGAAATGGCTGCCCTGTAAAGTTTAATAATTGTCAAATCCGTCACTATTCTACGACTATGACGTAATGATTTTCGAACGATTCAGACAAGTAATGCTCTTTAAGAAGTCGCTTAAAGACTACAATAGTCTGAGCTTCGCGTATATACAAAGGTAGGGCATTCCAGAGCTTAATAGACTGTACAGTAAAAGATTTATTAAAGAAAAATGTATTGTGAGTTGGTACCCTTAAAATGAGTTTTCTTGAAGAGCGTAAAGGTTCCCCTGGAAGCCCAACAAAACTAAACTTCTCCTTAAGATAAGGAGGAGTAGAAGGGTGAAGTATGTTACAGTACAGAGTAGAAAGAATCTATCCGGCAGTGCAGAGCATTTCCGACCGGGAGACCGTATGGAAGGAGAAGGAGCTCCACGGGAGATATAGATGTTCCGGCGAAATTGGATAGGTAACCACTTGAGACGTGAGCGAAATTGGGAAATGTGGTAAAATTTGTGCAATCCAAATATGAACCGAATACTAGTATTTTGAAGTCTCTCAAGCTTAGTTAGCTGGTCTTTAATTATGTCTACATAGCTTGCGTCAGCATAGTCGAGAATCGGAAGGAGAAGAGACTGTGCGAGAAAGAAATAATCGAAGGCGACGCAGTGAACTAAGAGTGACAAAGGTTTTCTTACTTACCTCATTCAGTTGGCGTTTCTATTTTAAGGAACTATCAAGGTAAACACCAAGATTTTTGACATTGTCAAAGTAAGGGATTACAACCCCATCGAATACAATAGGTGGTATGGAGAACCAGTCAATTCTTGAGATAAAGCTCTGACTACCAAAAATGATAGCCTGTGACTTTTTAGGATTGACATTTAGGCCATATGTTTGACTCCACTCATGAATCATATTTAAGTCATTGTTTAATGTAGCATTGCATGCGGCAAATTCTCAAGAGTTGACTGGGTGTAAATCTGGACATCATCATAGAGAGAAGAAATTTTATAAGTAATTGAATTAATGAAAATGGAAAAGAGTAAAGGTGACAACACGCCACCCTGCGGCACGCCTGCAGTAATATCACACCAAGATGAGTGAGTTTCATCAACATGAATACACTGCCGACGGCCACAGAGATAACTTTGAAACCAGGCAATTACTGATGGAGATATGTTAAGAAAATACAACAGACTCAACAGTATATCGAAGTCAACAGTATTGAACGCATTACTGAAATCTAGCAAGGTCATGACTGTGAGTTGTTTATTATCCATACCCCACCGTATGTCATCAGTAACTTTAATTAAGGCAATAGCCGTACTATGACCAGGATGGAAACCGGATTGTAAAGAATTCAACAAATTGTGCTTATTAAGGAAAAGGGTCAGCTGTTGGCAAATACGAGTAAGTTTTTCAAGGACTTTAGAAAGGAAAGATAAAATCGAAATGGGACGGAAATCAGTGAGGTTGACGGGATTAGATTTCTTAGGAAGGGGTATAACATAAGCACTCTTCCAGGCTTGAGGGAATTTAGAGGAAGATGCACATGTGTTAAGCAAATAAGTGATAATGGAAGTGATAACATTAAGGAGAGGAACGATCATGTTACGGCTAATGCTGTCGCTACCGACCGCATTTGAGGAGATGGATAATATGATTTTCTTAACATCACGTACAGTAAATTGACTAAAAACGAACGGAGAATAATTAGGAGTCGGACTTACAGAAAGAGAACGAAGTGTTTGCAGTTTATGTTCACAATCAAAAGAGTTAGAAGGATTAGAAAAATGTTGATTTAATAGTTCAACATCAACACTGGGAGGTGAAGTATTAAGAGAGGTTCTACCAACTCCAACTGTTTTAAGAAACTTCCACACCCTAGATGAGTCGCCCTTCTCAACTGATGAATGAATGTGGCGTCGTTGTGCATCTCTACACTATGTGTTGCAGCGATTCCGGATTTTAGTGTATTTTCTAAGGTTTTCCTCTGTTTTGTTTCTCTTAAGCTTTGACAATGCCGCATTCTTCTTCAAAATTAGCCTTTTCAGATCATCAGAGAGCCAAAAAACCGACCAATTGTTTCTTTGAAAATTTTGAGCTGTGCATTTGCATCTCTTCGCGCCTGTGTCTGTTCTGGTGTTTCAGATGCCCTTATAGTAGATTGACGTTCAGCTTGCTCAATGAGTCTGTGTTGAGTTTCATCAAGTTTTTCCGCGGCTCTTAAGGCAGCCTGACGTTCCGCATGTTCGAATAGCCTTTGCTGACTTTGAGCAGGTGTTTCAGTAGCTCTTAAAGTAGATTGACGCTCTGCCTGTTCAAGACGCCTTTGCTGACTTTGATCAGGTGTTTCAGTAGCTCTTAAAGTAGATTGACGCTCTGCCTGTTCAAGACGCCTTTCCTGACTTTGAGAAGGTGTTTCGAAAGCTCTTAAAGCAGCCTGACGCTCTGTCTGTTCAATACATCTTTGCTGACGTTGAGAAGGTGTCTCAGATGCTCTAAAAGCAGCCTGACGCGCTGCTTGTTCTTGCCTTCTCAGTTCAGCATCTTCTAAAGATTCTAGCGATCGAGCTAATCTTTTCGCTTGTCTTTGAGAAGATACTCTTGTAAGGCTGGACTTACGTTTGAGAGGCATTATGAAGTAACAAAAAGCCTATTTATAAAAAAAGTTAAAAACCTAAAAGAAATTAAATTTCCTTTTAAATATTTTTTTTTAATAGCAAATCCAAAATATCTAAAAGGAATAAATATTCCTTTTAAATATTTTTTAAAAACAAAACAAAAAAACCAATTCAAGACACAACACGAATCCGAAAACGATAGCCAAAAAAAAATCGAATCAACTTAAACCAAATCACAAAACAAATCGCAGAAAACCGAAATCGAAAGCAGTAGTCAATATAAATATAACCAACGAAAAAAGAAGTAAGTGTATAGGTACCGTATACACTATCTATACTATTAATATTCCTTTGAAATATTGTTAAACAGCCTAAAACAACGAAAACCAATTCACGATTCTAAATAAACAAAATCCAAAATCAAAGCCAGAGTCTAAATATGTATAAAGGAATACCAACCAAATCAACAAAACCGATCCAAGAAAATACACAAATCCGAAAATGAAAGCCAATATAAATCCATTCAACCTTAACCAAATCACAAAGCAAATAACAAACAACCGAAATCAAAGTAGGTAGTCGAATAAGTTACGAAATAGAAACAATTTAAGCGTATAGGTACCGTATGCACTATAAGCTGACGCGCCGCTCAACGGCGGGAGTTAAGTACATGTCAGGAAATATTTTTAAAACTATGTATATGTTAGTTAATAAGAACTCTCAAAAAATATTTTTCTTATAATTTTGCACAATTTTTCTTATTGTAATACCGATTCATTCATAACCACATATAAGAACTGTATTCATTTCCGTTCAATAAATATTACTAAGGCTTATTAATAAGGCTTACTAAAAACTGTTTCTACCACAGTTAAGTAATAGTTAAGGGTGAAAGCGTGACAGGTGGTGATAGTATTTCTGATCCATATTTATAATCACGCCTGTAACCCTTGCGGGGTAGGCAGAGCATCAACGGATTACTTAATATCGTCTGCGAGGTTATCGCCTATTCTGTGAATTACAATGCACCAAAACGTTTGAAGAAAATCAGCTGTTGAATTTTATGTTTTTTATCGCTCTCTTCCCGGTCCTGCGTGGAAAAATACAGATCCATACGTTTTTTATCTTAATTTTGGTAAAATGACATAATAATCTAGATATTCTGACCTTCTGTGTTCGTCCGTCTTGTAGAATCACGGTGGCGCCACCTAGCTGAATTTAATTTTGCAACATATTCAATTTTTCCACGAGAATGATATGTTTTTCCGCTGAAAAAAGTAGCCTATGTCACTCTACAGCCACCGAACTATCCCCATACAAAAAATCATGCCATGCCGACGCTCTGTTGCGACGTGAAAGAAGGATAAACAAACAAACAAACACACTTTCGCATTTATAATATTAGTAAGTATGGATAAATTAGTATGTATAAATGACCGAAGCATTTCTTTCTGAATCTTGGTCACGCCATCATGTTACAAACCACACTTTTCTCTTATAACACAATTTCTCACCCTGTCATTCAGA